ATTTTATAAGAATTTTAAAGAAAACCCTCCCAAGGAAGGCAAATTGTAAACCTCAGTTGCTGTCCGTAAGAGAGAGAGCGTGGAGACGAGAAAAAAAACCAAAAAACAAAAAAAAAAACCAAAAAACTGCCATTTGAGCTGGCATAGAAGTCAGGCACATGGCAAACAGGGAGGGAGGCTCTGGAGCAGCGTTTCTCAACCTGTGGGCTGTGACCCCTTGAAGTCAAATGACCCTTTCATAGGGGGGTCTCATGTCAGATATCCTGCATGTCAGATATTTACATTTTGATGCATAACAGTAACGAAATTACAGTTCTGAAGTAGCAACAACAATGTCATGGCTGGGGGTCACCGCAGCATGAGGAACTGTACTAAAGGGTCATAGCATTAGGAAGGGTGAGAACCACTGCTTCAGAGAAACAGCAAAGAAGCTCAAAGTGTTAGGGAAACCTGTAGACCAGCAACGGTGCACACGCCTTTAACCCCAGCACTCGGGAGACAGAGGCAGAGGGATCTCTGAGTTCGAGGCCAGCCTGGTCTACAGAGAGAATTCCAGGACAGCCAGGGCTACACAGAGAAACCCTGTCTCGAAGAGAAAAGACCCAGAAAGATGAAAAGGGAATTAGGCTTTTCTGGGTTACTCAGTGAGTGGGCCGGCTTCGGAAGCCGCGTAGCTGGAACCCGGAGCACTACTGACCACGTGTTGTCTCTGTGGGGCCTCTAGCAATGCTTCTTGGTATTGCATCTAAGCAACAACTTTCCAGCTTTGAACATGGACTTAAGCAGTGGTTTGATTTTGGTATATTTGATGAGAGCTTTGGACCTTGTGCTATATTAAAACTATAGCACAAGGTAACTAGCTGGTTCATTTATTAAAATTTACCTTATGTCCTTCTACCACAGAAGAAGAAATATATAAAATGTATTGATCTATGTATATACACACTTGATAAATACTGTCTTCAGTCTGATAATTAAAACCGGTTTTCTGATTTCCATAGAAATGGCAAGATATTCTTAAGGAAGTTAAATTTTTACAACAGTTGAAGCATCCGAACACCATCGAGTACAAAGGTTGTTATTTAAAAGAACATACTGCTTGGGTAAGTCAGAGAGTCTCTATTTCCTTTTTTTCTGTTAATTTCTTTTTTTTTTTTTTTTTTTTTTTTTGGTTTTTTTTTTGGTTTTTCGAGACAGGGTTTCTCTGTGTAGCTTTGCGCCTTTCCTGGAACTCACTTGGTAGTCCAGGCTGGCCTCGAACTCACAGAGATCCGCCTGGCTCTGCCTTCCGAGTGCTGGGATTAAAGGCGTGCGCCACCACTGCCCGGCTTCTGTTAATTTCTTAATTATTTATTTGAACTATAAAATTATGAGCTCTGTTTCTCTCCCCTTTGACTTTTGGAATTGCCGATTTAACACTTATCAGTGCACACCAGCTTGCATTATGGTATGTATTCCCTGAGATTAAGTATGCCAGTCTAGCCTGTTGGAAACATCATTCTGAAAACATTTAGCAAAGGGATGGGAAAAAGTTAACGTCATCTTGTAAAACCCAAAAGTAAATCCTTTTAGTCTCCTAGAATTTGTAAAGATTTTTGTCACATTTATTTTGTGTGTGCCTGTTTGCCATGTGCACATGTGGAGGTCAGAGGTCAACTTGTGGAGCTGGTCCCTCCCTTCCACAAAATGTGTTTCAGGGATTGGAGCCAAGTCATCAGCAGCAAGTGTCTCTACCCACTGAGCCATTTAAAGATTTATTTTTATTTGTATGTATGAATGTTTTTTGCCTGCACACATGTGAGTACACCACGTGTGTGCAGTGGCCACAGAGGTCGGAAGAGGACTTCAGATCCCCTGGAACTGGAGTGATGGATGGTTGTGAGCCACCAGGTGGGTGCTGGGAATTGAACCCGGGTCCTCTGCAAGAGCAGCCAGTGCTCTCAGCTGCTGAGCCATCTCTCCAGCCCTCATTCTAGAATTTTATCTTTGCCACTTCGACCCTCCTCCCCATTCCATTTGACCAAAACTCGGGCACTTTGCTAGACACTGTCACGGTACAACGTTTACAAAATGACACCACCACTGTGCCGCTGGAATGGGTCCCCTTTCCTTCCACATGGTTTGTTTATGTTGTTTTATGTGACGGTCACTGTTTGAAGATAGCATGTCACACACAAGTTAGAATATGAAAATGTTAAACTTTGCAGTTAGTCACATTAGGCATTTTAGCCTAACGTTCGTCTGTGATGTGTTGCTTGTGATGAGCCAAGGCCTTTCTGGATGGACCCTCTTGCCTACAGGAAATGGATATTAAATAAATATTTTAAAATACAAATTAAGCCGGGCAGTGGTGGCTCACGCCTTTAATCCCAGCACTCGGGAGGCAGAGCCAAGCGGATCTCTGTGAGTTCGAGGCCAGCCTGGACTACCAAGTGAGTTCCAGGAAAGGCTCAAAGCTACACAGAGAAACCCTGTCTCGAAAAACCAAAAAAAAAAAAAAAAAAAATACAAATTAAAATCTCCAGATGACTCCAATTCAAAGCAGTGGCACTAGACTGATTCAAGGTTATAATAGCACATGGCAGGCCATGTCTTTATACTGAGCCCTACAAAGACACATTCCTTGTGTCAAGCTCTAGACAGTGTAGACAAGGAGGCCTGCTAACTGGGGGTTTCTGTTTACTTTTGGTCCTAAGGATTGAACCCCAAATAAGTGAGGTGCAAAGTCCTGAGCCCAACATAGATTTTTCTGGTTTGTGTATTCCTTGACACTAAGTAACAAATTTTATCTTATAATAAATAATAAGCAATAATATCTAGCCACTCAAAACCAATTATGAAACAAGACTGTGGGAAGAAGGTATTAGGTCAGAACTGGCAATCTTAGCTTGACCATCTACAGTGACTATTTCATATCAACCCTCATATGGTAAGAGGCCAAGTCCAAATGAAAGGTGACAGGAACCGAAATGTGGAAAATTAAAAATAAATTCATTATCAAGTGACCAGATAAGACAGATTTAGGTCAGGCCAAATGTCTTTTCTCTTGATGTTCTTTGTGCTTTGGTTGGTTGTGTGCATGGTTGATTGGCTATTCAGTTGGTTGTTTGGTTACTTGGTTAGTTGTGTGGTTTGTTTGTTTGGTTGGTTGGTTGGTTTTGTAGGTGGTTGATTGGCTGTTGGTTGGTTGTGTGCTTGGTTGATTAGCCATTCCGTTGGTTGTTTGGGTACTTGGTTAGTTGTGTGGTTGGTTGGTTGTTGGTTGGTTTTGTGGTTGATTGTTTAGTTGGCTGATTGACTGGTTGGTTGGTTAACTTGAGGAACTTCTTATTAACTTTGAGTATTCTGATCTTTTCATCTGTTCCAGTTGGTGATGGAGTACTGCTTAGGGTCAGCCTCGGACTTGTTAGAAGGTAAGGATGACATCACTGTGCTTCTCCTGTTTTTCCTCCACCATGTTCTCTGTGGGACTGAAGAGACAGCTCAGTGGCAGAAACACTCTGCTCTTGGGGAGGACCCAAGTTTGACTCCCAGGTGGGCTCACAACTGCCTGTAACTCCAGCTCTGGGGACCTGATACACTCTTCTGGCTTCCACGGGCACCTGTGCTCATGGACACATGGACACACACACACACACACACACACACACACACACACACACACACACACTCTCTGTCTCTCTCTCTCTAAAATATAATCTTTTTTATGGATGTTATCTACTTCTAGAAAAATAGACAAAGTACAGTTTGGGCCTCTGGTTGAAAGTTAAGGGTCATGTGGGTAAGCTGTGCAGACATAATCTCAGCCATGTAGTTTACATGTCTGGGTGATGTCAACGGCCCTCCTACTGTTGAGGCCATGGCCATCCAGGGCAGGCTGAGATACCCATAGCCAAAAACCATCAAAACCATGTGTAAGTGTTGCTATCTACCTTTTGCCAGTGTCACGATGGACCATGTATGTGAGACAGAGTGTGTGTGTGTGTGTGTGTGCTCACACGTGCTGTCAACTCATGTTGGTATCTACCCATGTGAGGTGTCAGGATGGACCCAATCCCTCCTTACCAGTGCTAAAAATGTCTGGCCGGGCGGCAGTGAGTGGCACACGCCTTTAATCCCAGCACTCGGGAGGCAGAGGCAGGCGGATCTCTGTGAGTTCGAAGGCAGCCTGGGCTACAGAGTGAGTTCCAGGAAAAAAGCTGCACAGAGAAACCCTGTCTCAAAAAACCAAAAAAAAAAAAAAAAAAAAAAAAAGGAAAGAAAGAAAAACCAAAATATAAAAAGATAAACAAAAATGTCTGAAGCCGCCCATGGTCTCTCAGCAGAAGTTGCTTCATGGCCTCTTTACCTGTATGTAGGTCAAGGGGGGTAATTATGAAGGCTTTGCAGCCGAGAAGAGCATGGCCTTGATCGCTGTCGGGGGCACTGGTACACCTGGGCCCAACTGGGTTAGAATCCATACAGCTCTGACTCACCATTGACCAGTAAATTAATGCCACCGGCCTGTGGGTTTTGTTTTGTTGGTTTCACTTTTTCATGCACTTGGGTTTCCTCATCTCCTGCTGTATTACGGAAGGTACAGCTTCCACATGTTTAGGTGACTACGCTCTCTAGTTGTCCTTTGGTAAAGTGTGTGTCACTGTGCGGTGTGGAAGGCTGGTCATCCATCCTGACCATCTCTCCTTCCTCCCCAGTTCATAAGAAACCACTTCAGGAAGTGGAGATTGCTGCTATCACCCATGGTGCCTTGCAGGGGCTGGCCTACCTCCACTTTCACTCTCTGATCCACAGGTAAGTCCAGACCCCAGCTTCCTTTCCACTCCCTTCCCCAACTCCGGAGCCCAGGGACCGTGGGAATCAGTGTGTGTTCCAGTTCCGCGCCTAAGGGACCACAGGGGACAAGCAGAGACCCCCTAGGCCTCTCCACAGCTCCGTGAAGACAGCATCCCTCTGATGTTTGGGCGCTGGGGGGGGGGGGGGTATTTATTTGTTGTTTGAGGATGGTGGTAGTTATTTTTAGTTTAGATTTCTTTTTCTTTTCTGAAACAGGGTCTTACAATGTAGCCCAGGCTGGCCCTGAACTCACCATGTAGCCCAGGTGGATCTTGAACTCTGTTTGTCCCGCCTCAGCCTCCAGAGGGCTGACATTGTGGTGTGCATTGCCATGCCTGGCTTTGGCCTCCTGATGGCGCAGGCAAATCTGAAGAAGGGTCGGTCCATCCTCTTCCCCGCTCTGGGCCAGGAACAGAAACCCACTGACTTCCATGCACGGAACAGCAGCCAAGCTGAGCCCCTGCCTTTTCTTCTCCCATTCCAGAGGCTTCCCGTTCCTGAAGTCTGTGTCAGGAAGGCTCTCAGCACACACGGTGGCTCACAGCTGCCTGTAACTCCAGTTCCAGGAGTTCTGACGCCCTCTTCTGACCCCTGTGGGCATTGCATGCACACGGTGCACGACATGTATGTAGGCAAAATGTTCACACACAAAATATAAATAATTTTTTTTAGAAAGGCTAGATTAGACTAGGGTGTGTTCGGATTGGTACCAGAGCATTTGCAGAGCACACACAAGGCCACCATGTCCATCCCCAGCACCACAAAAAATAAATGAAATAGACAAAGCATGAACCAATCACATATGGTAAATAAGAACTAAACCCATTTACCGTCTAACAAATCTTTGAGGTCTGTTTCCTCAAAGTCAAGGTAGAATTGCTGGATGGTGACTTGCTTGCAAGTCTGCTCTGTTTTTTCTGAAGCCACAGTTCAGTTTGTATACATCCCTCTTACCTTAATCTGCATGGTACTTATGCAAGAAATTGAGAAGACAAAAAACAAAAATTTAATGTTCTTTACATTTCAAAATGAACGCCAAGCATGGTAACACACATCTTTAATCCCAGTACTCAAAAGGCAGAGGCAGGAGGATCCCTGTGAGTTCAAGGCCAACCTGGTCTATACAGTGAGCTCCAGAACAAAGAGAAAACCTGTCTCAAAAAACAAAAACAAAAACAAAAACAAAAACAATTGTTTTTAAAGAACCCATAGCCAGGTACAGCGGCATAGGCGTATAATCTCAGCACCTGTGAAGTAGAGGCAGAGAATTAGAAGTCCAAGGCCAACCTCGGCTACATAAAGAGTTCGAGACCAGCCTGAGCTATGTGGGGTCCAGTCTTCAAACAACATGAATACCGTTCATCTCAACTTTGTATTGCTTTGAGGGACGTTTCGTCTCCGAGCCCCTCTGTTGTAAGAGAATGAACAGTACCTTTGCTTGCAGCCCCTCTGCCCAGTGTCGTCTCCGAGGAGGGAACCTGTCATTCCAAGGGGACTTTTGGAAGTGTTTAAGCCTATTGCCTTCTCTCCACTTTTTCAGCTGTATCTTCCCACGGCCCGTTATCAACTTGCTGTTCGTGGGTCCCAGTCCTCATTACACATCATTCATACCTTAAGAAAAATAAGGGGTCATCCACATCATCCTCTCCTTCTGAATTTTCAAATGGTATTTTTTTTCCCCTAACGTTTCACTGCATCAAATATCAAACATCTTTAATAGCAAACCAGCCACAGCCCGCCATTGCAATACTGAAATGCAAGCTCCTGACCCCTAATCCTTGTCTGTTTTGATCTTTCAGGGTCTTCTTTTTACTGTACAGTGTTATTTCTTAAATAACACCTTTTCTATAGCCTGTACCCTCCCATGCCTTAGAGGGGCAGTTACGGTTAAAGGCAGAGAGAAAGGGTCACGGGCAAGACAGAACAGGTATGTGTCCAGCTGAGGAGCCCCGGCCAGGGCGGCCACGCAGGCACGTCCGTCAGACAGCTTTGGAAGGGGGAAAGCAGCAGGCAGTTCCGAATGACGCCAACTTTCCCCCGCACGCACGAGGAATGTTGGCGGTGGGGGGATAGAACATTGAAGAACACGCTTTGTAAGGGTCGCCAACTCGGAGCTCTCCTTGACTGGCATGGCTACCTCTTTCCCTTGCTCCACCCCTCCCTCTGAAGACAGCTCCTCCTGGAAGTCCTTCCAGTGACCGCCCAGGAATGCGGGCTCCCTTACAACACGCAGTGACAGTGACCGCTGAGAAAAGTATGCTTGTGTGTTTAAGAAACTTTTTTATCTTGCTAATTGCATGCTCTGGCCTCCTGCATAGTAAGAATTGAGACCTTAACTCTTGAATCCTCCCCTCTCTCTCCGGTAGGGACATTAAAGCTGGAAATATCCTCCTCACAGAACCCGGGCAGGTGAAGCTGGCTGACTTTGGATCCGCCTCCATGGCTTCTCCTGCCAACTCCTTCGTGGGGACGCCTTACTGGTGCGTAGACATAGAAGATATGAAGCAGGCTTAAAATACACAAGTGTGAGCAGGAGGGACACTTGGCATCGGCCTTGCTGTTTCTACAGTGGTAGGGATTGAACCCAGGACCTGGAGTATGCTGGGCAAGTGTTCAACCATTGAGCTACACCGCAGTTCCTTTGTTTGGAAACAGAGCCTCACTAATTTGTTCAGATTATCCTCGTATTCATTCTCTATCCCAGGCTGCCCTTGAATATGCAATCCTCCTGCCTCAAGCTACCATGGAGCTGAGCACACAAGCCTGTGCCACCAGGCCTAGCCTTGTTTTGTCTCTCAATGATGTGTTACCAGCCAGGAATGTTGCACACTTTTAATCTCAGCACTCAGGAGGCAAAGGCAGATGGGTCTCTGTGAGTTCAACCAGTCTGGTCTACACAGTGAGTTCCAGGACAGCCAGGGTTACATAGAGAGACTCTATTAAAAAAAAAAAAAAAAAAAAAAGAATGAAAGAAAGAAAAAACAACTGTGTTCCCAATGTTCCCCAATCGGATTTCATTTGAGAAGGTTAGAGACCTCACTAGCCAAACAGAGTGACCTGAAATTGCTCAAATGATGCAGCTGGCTTTGGGTCTCCTTTGTGTGTTATCGATTTGCTGGGCTAGCTCTGTCTAAGGTTTCACTTGAGATCTCTTTTGAACTGCTCCCCAGAGGCAGCGTGTTCAGGACAAGGGATCTTCTTTACAGCCCTCTGGCTGGCTACCAAGCCAGGATGGAAGAAATCCAAGCTCCCAACTCTATCGAGTTCTCTGACACTTCATCCACTTTGACGTCATTCTGACTTGGAGTTGTCCCCCACATTCTGCTCCAGATCCCCTTTCCAAACGTTCACTTATACACCCATCATGTTATCGAAGCTTTGAAAAAGACACATTCTGGAAAAACCCGCTAAGAGCAGCTGCTGTTCGACTTTTGACCTCATCGTAAGATAGGATTTACAAAGCCACTTCCGACATGGAATAGACCGTAGCACCAACCAAAGCAAACTGAAGGCTGAGAGCCTCTCCTTTCTGGGGGGTCACACATGCTGCCCACCTTTGCCTGTTTGGGTCTGTAAATCACAATGTCTTTGGAAGCACAGACCGCGGTCCTTTAGGCTGTCCCTCCAGATATTTTTTTTATGTCTTTTAAAGTAATTCATTTGTCTGTGCTCACAACACACTAAGTGTTTACGTATCTGCCTGAGGTCCCTATGACAGGTCTCTCCATTTTTTAGATGAAGAAACAGATAGACCATGAATGAGCAACAGACTCAAGAGCAAACGGAGAGCAAAGGGTAGAGCTGGGATGTGTTGAAAATCATGTAGTAGTTCCTAGACACCACCCAAGATGTTTGTGTTTTGAACGATATTCTTCCCAGTGGTTTGTGTAAGGAAAATCTCTGTTGGGGCGGGGGGCGGGGATCTTCAATTTTTTTTAATTAATTTTTTAGCTGCTGTGCGGAAGAATAGGTTGTGTCATATTCTCTCACATCTAAGTCATGGTTTGTACTTGGTTCACATTCATCCCCGTGTCCTCCATTCTGCCACCCCACTGGCTCCCCCCACCCCAGTATTCCCCATTCTGCTCTCCTCCCCTCCTCCCTCCCTCCTTCTCTCCTAGATTTATCTTTCTAAGTCTGGCTTACTTCACGTAACATGATGATCCCCTGTTGCATCCCACATCTTAGTTCCTTTTTATTGCTGTGATAAAATGCCATGACCGAGTCGACTTATTAAAAAAAAAGGAAGTGTTTATTTTGGGGCTTTAATTTCAGACGGTTAGAGTCTGTGACTGTCAGGGCAGGGAGCGTGGCAGGAGGCAGGCAAGCATGGTAGCAGGAACAGTTGAGAGCTCACATCTTAAGGCATAACCATGAGGCAGAAAGAGAGAGAAACACTAGGAATGGCAGGAGCCATTTGAAACCTCAAAGCCCACCCCCACTGACACACCTCCTCCAGCAAGGCAGCACCTTCTAATCCTTCCCAAACAGTTCCACCAGTGGGAGCATGAAACCAAGTATATGAGCCTATGGGGGCCACTCATTCAAACCACCACATCACAGGCACCTCCATCATGTACCTGGACCGCGTTTTCCTTATCTGTGCCTCGGTTGGTTGTCAAGGCTGGTTTCATTCCATGGCTTCTACAAAAAAAACACCACAACAAGTGCTGAGAACTTTGAGCAGGGGCTGGAGAAATGGTTGTGCAGTTGAAAGCACTTGCTGTTCTTACAGAGGACCGTGTTTTGGTTCCCGGAAAACAAAAGAAAAAAAAAACTTTTAAATAACCTTAGAAATACTTTTGAATACCCTTAAATCTGCTGTGCCGAGTAGTTTTATAATGGAAATTTTGTTTCTACTGACAACTTGAGTTCTGCACATTGTGTTTGGCAGGATGGCCCCAGAGGTGATCTTAGCCATGGACGAAGGACAGTACGATGGGAAAGTTGACATCTGGTCGCTCGGCATCACCTGTATAGAACTGGGTGAGTGAAGAGTAGTTTTCCCTGGATCTTTGCAAACTGGTCCTCATCCCGCTCATCGGTTAACTTGTCTAGAACTCACTCAGTAATTGGAGGCTGTGCACAGGCCAGGCAATGTGAATTTGTCGTAGGTACTTCCCATGTTCTTGTACGCCCCAGAAGACTGTCCCTTCTCTGCTATGTCTCCATGAAAAACAAGCCAGTAATTGCTAATATTTGAGAAACACCCCTTACTCGGTGTGACATCGCATACCCTGTCTTTACAATAACCCCCACTGCTTTGCTTCATATTTACAACCCTATAGGGGAAATATTAGAAGACTTATCGAACATATGCCTTTAACATTGACTTGACAGTGGAGCCTTGAGGGAAACTTCATAGTAAAGGATGCACTAGCATTACAGTTGTCCCCCAGGACTGGAGCAATGCCCAGTGGATAAGAGCACTTACTAATCTTCAGAGGACCTGAATCAGTTCCCAGCACCCACACTGGGTGGCTCACAACCACCTGTCACTCCAGATCCAAGAGTATTTGAAGCCATCTTTTGGCCTCCTTGGGTCACACACACACACACACATCTTTAAAGTTGTCCCCCAAATATTCATAACCTAAAGCTACCTAAAATACATTGGTTTTCCTGATTGCATATTTGAACTTTGGCTTGTCTTTAAATGACGTCTGTCCCACAGTATACCTGCCAATAAACTTAACAAACCGATCTGATGCTGGAGGGAAGGATCCGCGTGTTTCCATAGTGTAAGCTGCCATCACTGTTCACTAGATATGGGTCTAAGGACAGGAGGGGCCGTTAGCCTTCCCAAGCCAGGGTAACCTGGTCCAGGTTTAATCTGCCTTATCTAGAAACTTAAAACTACATTTTTTAAAAAAATTCTTTGTCTAGTTTTTAAGATTTATATCTCCTTTAATTTAAATTCTTCTTTCCTGGTCTCCGCATGGCCCCTGTCAGAATTCCTGAGAAGTTTGTCCTGTAGAGGAGACCTGGGACACTCATGCTGTTCCCAGCACTTTATCCACATCTTCCAACAGAAAAACTTAGATGCATGACCTGTCTGTCACTTTGCATCAAAGAGAGATTAGTGAGAAGAAAATGATTCGAGGGGGAACATTAGGGTGTTTACTTAATTTTTTTAATGAGATCACATATCCACATAGTTTATAAATCAAAAAAATTAAGTCATGGGGTTGAAGAGATGGCTCAGGGAGGGGTAAGGCCTCTTGCTACCTTACAGAGGATCTGAATTCTGTTCCCAACACCCACCTTGGGCAGCTCACAACCATCTGTAACTCCAGCTCCAGGGAATCCCATGTCCTCTTCTGGCCTCAGCAGGCACCCGCACTCACTTTGCATTTATTTGCACACCTAGACACACACTCACACGCATCAAGCACAGTGGTGTGCACATGTCCCAGCAGTTGGGAGGCTCCTGGGGTCAGGGCTGATGACCACTAATCTGTCACCCATTTCAGTACTGAGCCTAGCTGTCCCTTAGGAAACTGGAGGGTACACTTAGCTGCCAGGCTCCGGTGGGCATGATGAATAGCATCCGTGCCATGCCTGAGGCAGTGAGTGCCAGATGTGGGATAGGAACTAAGCAACTCATGGCAGTTAGTGTTGCCTTTCAGCTAGGGCTGCCAGCCATATTTGTTCACAGGAAAACCTTGACTTACAAAAAGCATTGATCTAAGAGTGGGGTGCCTTTGGGTCGCCTCTCTTTCTCAAAAAGAGTACAGCCCACTGGTTCCAAGTTAGCACATCCAGGCAGAGCTGTTAGCAACGACCCATTCAACTGAGCTCCCTAAACCTTGATCTTGGTTGGCACAGATGGTGCATCCGCAGAGATGTGACCATTGTCTGTCAGGTAAACAGGAACATACACACACACACACACACACACACACACACACACACACACACACACACACATTAATCCCAGAGCTCAGGAGGAAGCAGCAGGTGACCTCTGAAGCAAACTGGCTATCTAGATTAGCCGAGTCAGCAAACTCTGGGTTCAAGTGAGAGGCCCTATAGAGCACGGTCAAGGAAAACCGCTTCTGCCCTCCATCTGCATGCACACACCTGTGCACCTACACGTATGCAAATATACATATACACATATGAAATGTACACATGAGTATATACGTCTACTCACATGCACACCACACACAAAAACACACATATGCCCGACACACGAACACACACACCTACACACTTGTAAATACTGTGCAAACACAGAGACCCACGCACACACACACAAAAAAAATAAGGACTCATGGGTCCTTGTCCCAGGTACCAGCGGTCCTTGCACTGTGTACAGACCTAGGCCTCTTGCTGTGCCCCTCCAATGCCGCGATGAACTCCCTGGGAAGGACCAGATGATGGATGTTTAGACTCCGCAGGCCCCGCTGTGTGTGTCTGCATCTTCCCCACTGGAACAGGAAACACCCGTGGAAAACACCTCATTACACAGAAGTGGGCTGCTGGCTGGCTCTGGCTTTTGCTCTGTAGCGTTCTGTCTCGGTGACAAGCCCCGTCACTGTGGCTGTGAGGCTGGTTTCGCTTGCTTGCTTGGAGACAGTCTTCCTGTGCAGCCCAGGCTGTTCTAGAACTTGAGATCTTCTTGCTTTAGCCTACCCAGGGATTACAGCCTTCAGCACCAGGCTCAGCTGGCTCAAGGAGAGTTCTTCTAGTAAAGAATTCAAATGTAGACCAGACCTTTCAAATCTAGTGTTTGGAGGATGGCCCCACGCTCTGGTTTCTTTACTGTAGTGATTTTCCCCACCATCTAAGGGCTGGCTGTTATGGCTTGTTCCCAGACACTTTGCTTGCTTGTCCTGGGCCCACCTTTAGGCTTCGAGTCGGAGTTGCTGCTGTCTCTACACTAATGCTGAGTTTTGGTTTTTCGATTTTCTCTTCTGAGACAGGATCTCATATAGCCTAGGCTGGCCTTGAAATCACTATCGAACATAGGATGACCTTGAACTTCTGATCCTCCTAGGTTCACTCCGAGTGCTAGGGTTACAAACATGCTTCCCCACACCTGGTTTGTGCGGTATGGGGGGCTGAACCCCCTGCATGGTAATCAAGCACTGTATAGACTGGTCCACATCCCCAGCTCCCACATCCTCTTTCTGAACTTCTGTTTTCTCTATCTGGTCCCCTTTCCACTGCTTCTCCTAGGCAACTCACGGTTCCTCTGCACAGCTTGAATCGTTGTGCATTTTCCTGGGAACGAGAGTGACCTTATCCCTCTTATGGTGAGCCCATCACATGATATTTGATGTGGGCCCCAAGACCTTGGTCTCTTTTCATCGTTTCTATGCCCGCTTGTTACACATAGATTCTTTTAAAACATTTTTTAATAATTTTATGTAGATAATAAATATTCATTTACCTGTCTGTGGGGGGTAGAGGGAGTGCAGGTGGGCGCTTTGGCATATAAGTGGGGGTTAGAAAGCAGCTTGTCAGAGTCATTTCTCTCCTTCCACCATCCGGACCCAGGGATCAAACTCAGGTCCTCAGGTTCAGCCGCAATCGCCTTGGATGCTGAGCCATCTCAGCAAGCCCACACAAAGATCCCTTGTGGATACAGTTCTCTTTGCATTAAGTTGTCCTTTATTAATTTGCTTAGCGGGTTTTGTGCGGACTGCCTTCCAAGGTGAGTCTTCAGCACCAGACAGTAAAGGACAAAATGAGCATCATGAGCGTGGTCCCTGCCCCTGTGAAGTTTAGACACTTAGTAAGGGACACAAGATCATGAGAGTTGTAACGTATGGCCCAAAAAATGCAGCACAGCTATAGTCCGCAGTGACAAAAGTCACAGAAGGCTTCTCTGAGGAAGCGATCGTTCACCTGGCAGAAGCCCTTAATAGACATGCTTTCAATTACTGCAAGAACAAAGTGAGTTCATCTCAGTTACTTTTCTCACTGCTATGACCAAAATACCTGACAAGAAACACTGTAAGCGGGGAAGGTTTGTTTCGCACTCACGGTCTGAGGGGATACAGTCCCTCCCCGGCAGGGAAAGCGTGGCCAAGGGCACTCAAGTCAGCTGGTTACATTGTTTCCACTATCAGGATACAAGAGCTGACTGACAGGAAGTGGGGCAGGGCTATAAAAAATCCAAAGACCTTCTCTCCCTGACTCACTTCCTCCAGTGAGGGTCCACCTCCAGGAGGCTCCATAGCCTTCTAGAACAGGACCTCCAAAACTGAGGTACCCAGTGTTCAAGTATGCCACTTAACATACCCAAGCAGACCTGACCTCAAGGTTCTCCCAGCATTCCTCAGTTCCTACCCACGCTGGGGTATGGCTGGCATACCCCACCCTCTACCCTGAATTCTCCAGTCCAGGGGCTAGACTGACCTTCCCCTAGGGGCTTTCCCCGTTATCCAGACATTTTGGCTACCTGCTCTTTTTGTACCTTTGAATCTCTTGGCTGCTGCACCTGGTTCCCCTCTTCTTACTTCTTTCACTTCTTTAATATTCTTTTCCCCTCTCTCCCCCTCGCCCTCCCCGCACATGACCCAGTTCATCATGGTCATGTCCTCTCTGGACTCTCCCAGATGTCCCTGTCGCTGCCGCCTATGTCTCTCTCTCTCTCTCTCTCTCTCTCTCTCTCTCTCTCTCTCTCTCTCTCTCTCTCTCTCTCTCTCTCTCGGCTTTTTCGAGACAGGGTTTCTCTGTAGCTTTGGAACCTGTCCTGGACCTCTGCCTGCTTCTGCCTCCCAAGTGCTGGGATCAGAGGTGTGTGCCACCATGGCCCGGTTTATGCTCTCCCTTTTACCTACAATAAACTTTTCCCTCCACCACACCTAGGAGCAGCCATGTCCTTTCTTTTCCTTTTGATTTCTTTTTTTCATCCATTCATGAGCCTGTGGGGACATTTCATATTCAAGCCACAACAGGATTGTTAAGAATTAGCCAGAGCTGAAACAGGAGTACACATGCTCTCAGCTACACAGGAGACAAACAAGAGAACCGTTGAGCCCAGGAGTTTCAGACCAGCCTGAGCAACATAGCAAGACCTCATCTTAAAAAAAAAAAAAAAAAAAAAGAAGAAGAAGAAGAAGAAGAATTAAAACATTGTTTAAAAGAATTAGCCTGATAAGGTTAAAATCTGGACTGAAAACATCCATGTGAAATGGCTGTTCTTGATGGCTGGAGAGAGGGGACCGAGGGGGACCGAGCCCCATGTTGTTCTCAGGACAGGACAAGCTCATGGAGGTCTGCAGACGCTGCTCAGTGGTCTGAACTTAGGGCTAGAAGGAGTGGGAAGGCACTTGTGTCCACAGGAGTTCCCAGTTTCCCTACGGTTTTAGAACTTGACATCACCAGAAGACCACGCTCTAGAAACCCCTTGAGTCCACTTCCTGAAAAACAGCCCGAAAGCACTTCTGTCTCTTCCCTGTGCTTGAAAACCTTTATCCACACTGCTCCGGCTCAGACCAGTTCACACACCATCGGCCAGTTTCGACCAGCCTCTACCAGTTTCCGCTTGATGCATGTAAACAGTCTTCTGCAGCATGGTGGTGCACGCGTGTGATCTCAGCTACGGGGGAGGCCAACCAGCTGGGGCCATGCTGGAGACCCTGGAGAGAGAAGGGTGGGGGGAGAAGGAGGGGCAGGGAAGGGAGAGAAGAAATCCTTGCAGGATTCTAGTGGGCCATCCCAGAGGCATCTGCAGGCACCGGTCAGCAAAGACCCACCGAGGACTGTCATCAAAATATGAGACCATGAAGGAATAAATATTCTTTTAAAAGACTAAGAAGTCCCTCCACATCATCGCCGCCTTTTCTTTTCTTTAAACGTTTTATTTATGTGTCTATCTATTTATTTTGGAGACGTGGTCTCACTATGTATCCCTGGCTGTACTGGAACTCACTATTTAAACAGGCTGGCCTCTGGGCTGAGAAAGACCCTGGCTCTAAATAAATAATTAAATGTCTGTCCCACTTCACAATAAGATTTTTTCTTTTAAAAAGAGATTTATTTATTTTACATGTATAAATTTTTTGCCTGTATTGTATTTACTACACTGTGTGCATGCATGCCCAGAAGAGGGCGCCAGCTCCTCTGGGGCTAGAGTTAATGGATGGTTGTGAGCCACCTTATAGGTGCTGAAATTTGGGTCCTCTGTAAGAGCAGACAGTGCTTTTAACCACTGAGCCATCCATCCAGCCCTTCCATTCCATAATAATATTTTTTTGTTCTACTTTGCTTTCTGATTTTATTTAATGAATATGTATTTTTTAATTAAAATACACACACATTCACACCTTGTCATTGAAAAACAGGCCAACAACAATCTATGCAGAACCTATGAAAAAATAAGGACATTTTCTCCCATTCTTCCGAAACGGGTTCTGCTGGGAGCCTTCCAGTGGACAGTGAGTGACCAGCAGCCAGCAATGACTCCTTTGAGCTGGCCCTAAGAGTACAACAGGAGAATAGTGTCTCGTTGATTGATAATCCTGATTTTGCTACCTACTTTACTTCTTTTGAGAATGCCTTACTGTGCCTGCTTCCTCTTCCAGCGGAGCGGAAACCCCCGCTCTTCAACATGAACGCCATGAGCGCCCTCTACCACATCGCCCAGAATGACTCCCCCACGCTACAGTCCAGGGAATGGTAAGACATCTCCAAGAAACTCGCTGTGGGTATCTGACATGCTCATTAAACTATATTTTATAGATCTGCCTTAAAATACCATTGCATTCTTCCATCACAGCAATAGGAAGAATGGATGCCCCACAAACAGTGTACCTTTGTACACACACACACACACACACACACACACACACACACACACACACACAGACATGCCCCCCACCTCCCTCCCACACCTCATCGCTCAGGTCCTGCTCATCACATCTCATCTGTAGTTTTTAGCAGCTGTGAGATGCCCTGGCTGGTGTCATTGTTTGTCTCCGTGTCTATCCGAACGGGCTGGGACAGAACACGTTACCCTCTATTCAGAAGATGTGTTGTTGTTGGCCGAAAACCATGACATGTTTGTAACTGCTGAGGCCACAAGAGTTACAGGGAATGAGCCATCTAACCAGAGTGGACCCAAAGAAGTCTCCAAGAGAGGACTTAGTTTCATTCAGAAAGTGTGTTTCCAGGTTCCCTGTCCCGATGGGCTTTCGTTTTTATTCCTTAGAGGTTATGGGTGGCAGAGGGGTTAGCAGAGTGGTAATGAAGAATGCAGACTGGGCGTTAGAAATGGTGTTACCTTTGAGGGGGGGAATGCATATTAAACTATTACACATAAGGATAGTGTTTTTATTTTCTGATCTATTTTGTGATTTGACCTAGCCTTGCTTATGTGTATAACTGCATTGACTAGCTTGGGACTGTGTCCACCTCATTATCCAAAAGAATTAATTTTCAATGCCATAACTTGAAAATGGTCCAGGTCTCCTGATATTTCAAAATGCCTTATGAAAAGGAATCTCCTGGCTGGGAGATGGCCCAGTCAGCAAAGTCTTGCTGTGCATGCAAGAGGGTATCAGTTCTGTCTCCAGAACCAGTGCAAAAGCTGGACCCCGAAATTCCAGTGTGGGGAGATGGAGAGGGAGGAATGTCTGGGGCTCACTGCCCAGCCAGTCTAACCAAATCAGTGAGCCCCAGGTTCAGGGAGAGACCCTGCCTCAAACAACTAAGGTGGCGAGTGACTGTGAGAGACACTTGATGTCAGCCTGTGGCCTCTACACACACACACACACACACACACACACACACACATGCACACACACACACACACACACACACACACGCACATGCACACACACACACACACACACACACACACACACACACACACAGTCTCCCAACTTCCAAGTGTTCTCTCCCATGCACTTTGCCTTCTGTATGCTGGGTCCCTCGGCCCCCTCACTGCTCTCCTTGATGTGTTCACTCACACAGGACCGACTCCTTCAGGAGATTCGTTGATTACTGCTTACACAAGATACCTCAGGAAAGACCAGCCGCGGTGGAACTGTTACGGGTAAATTTTTCCAGTTTCCATCTGGGGAGGGGCCATGAAGTCTGGCCACGGGGCAAAGAGTTACTCCATGGCTGAGCACTGTGATACACTGGCGTATGGCGTGCTCCCTGGTTACAACCCTAGGATGGAAATAGGCATAAAAATGGCAAGGTTGTCAGGATCCATGTCCTTCCTGCTGTCTCCCACCCCACCCCTGTGGGCAGTGTTTTCCTCCCCACCCTTCTGAGTTGCCTGAGTCCAGTCAGTTTCTCCTCCCTGCTCTTCCTGCCATTCAGGGTTTTTCTGACTGAACTCGAGTGAGCTCTCACGATGATCTGCCAACAACACCAATGCCCACTCTGCCAATCTCAGGTTGGTGACAAATCCAGGCAGTGAAGATGTAGGGTGACAGTCTAAAACCAGATACTCGGGTCATACAGATGAACTGCAAGAGTGTCACATAACTATACTCAAGAGGCCATGATAGCATGCTTGTGATCTCACCACATGCCCAGGCTGATCTTGTGATCCTCCTGCCTCCACGTCCCCAGCATTGGTTTTACAGGAACATCACACCCAGCTCTGGAGGTAGAGGCAAGAGCATCAGTAGTTCAGGCCAGCCTTGGCTGCATGAGAGCCTATTTCCATCAGCACAGAAAGTTTCCATTCTGTGATATTTTCCTTTTCCTTTTCTTTGACTTCTGACCTTTTTTAAAAATGAATATGCATTGGTTTGATTTGAACCTCACAGTCCTGAGCCTCTCTTTGCTTGTGTGTGTTGATTTTATGTGATGATGCTGTGGTCCATCAACAGGCGTGTAGTGGATGGGAATTCACCATGGTGTAAACATTTCCTGCCTGGCATAGGATAATGCAGACCTCTACCCTTTTATATGTGTGTGTTTATTAGTCCTGTTGCTTGCTCATTTCCTCCTGAGAATGGATCCTCTTCTGAGCAGTTTTGTTTGTTGGTTTGTTTATGAGGAAAAACCCAGAAGGGTTGTATTCCTCCAATGTGTCAGGCCTAAAACAGGGGCCACTGCGGGCCTGGAGAGATGGCTCAGCAGGTCACAGTGCTGGCTGTTCTTGTAGAGGACCTGGGGTCAGTTCCCACCATCCACACGACGGCTCACAACCATCTGTGGCTCCAGTTCCAGGGGATCCAGTGCCCCCTTGTGGCCTCGGCAGGCGCTGCACACAAATGTAGCTGACTGCGTAGGGCAGGCAAACACCCCCCCCCCCCCACACACACACACAAAATAAGTTGTAAAAGTTCACGCATATGAAATAAAAATGAATACATTTTTGGCTGGGGAGATGACCCTGTGGTAAGAGCACTTAAGCATCAGGACCTGAGTTCTGATCCCAGCACTCACATGAAAAGCAGGGCAAGGGCTACATGAACCTGTAGCCTCAGTGTTGTTGGGGGCAGAGACAGGAAGGACACTAATGCTTCCGGCCACCGGCCTAGTTCCGTGTTTAGTGAGAGACGCTGCCTCAAAGGAATAATACAGGGAGTGGTACAACAAGACACCCAACATCGTCCACTAACCTCCACACCTGTGCTCACAGGCACACACACACACACACACACACACACACACACACACACACACACACACACATTGACACACAAAATAATGTTTTCCCAGTACTGGGGAATTTTGTGTGACACTACTCCTGTGAAGACACGAACAGCAGTCTGCTCACTGCAGATTAGGATCTGAGGACAGACCAAAGTCCAACGTGGTGAACTGTGAGTTTTGCTGGGCTACAGGAATATGGGTGAGGGGCTACTGACAGGAGCAGAAGTGACTGAAAAACTGCTGCATCACCAAAGCCCACCCCAGCACAGGTGACAGTTCACAAAAGCTGGACATCTAGAGCACACTGCACAGCGTGCAGGCAACTCAGCAGGCTAGAGAGTACCCTTTCCAGGTATCTCAGCTGGTGTGAGAGTGACTCTCAGCAGTCCTTCCTGTTTATATATGCTTCGGGAGGGAAAGTCTAATGAATCTGGTCAGTTTTAGGGACTTCCTGAAGCTTTTGAGTTGTTTCCTTCCTGAGCTTAAGGAGCTTCCCTGTAGGATGGAGTGTTTCATCTCTGCATAGAACACGCAGCTGTTCTACCTTTCTGTAAACAAGCTTGGAAGGCTTTAATCTAGGAGGAAACAGCTACACAAAGAGTATTGATCCCAGGGCCTGATGCATGCTGGGAAAGTGGCCAGCTATGCATGCTTGGAAGTGGGAGCTTTGCACTCACTCCCAGCCTCTACCTCCTTACACCCTGCCCTGCAGTGAGCATCGACAGGCATGACAGCCCTCAGGAAGGAAAAGGTGGATCTTAGGTTGGAATGCATACCGCCAGATCGCCCTGGAGTTTACAGCCTCACAGACCAAGTGTGAGCATCTGAATTGCACAGCTTAGAGTGATTTTAAAAAAAAAAAAAATGTTTCTGGTTGTGGTTTGGGTGTTTTTGTCTTTTTTTTTTCTGAATTTTTTTACAGTATCTTTTTCAACTTCATTGGGGTTGTTTTCATTTGCTTTGGAGGTCTTGGGCCGTGCTGGAGGTCAAAGCTAGGGCCTCACCCCTGTAAGGCCAGCACTGTGCCAACAGAGCTGCGCGCACACACACACACACACACACACACACACACACACACACACACACACACACGCACCCGCCCCTCTGACTATAGTTTTAAGTTTTTTTTCTCATCACTTGGAGAAGTCTTTTCCCTAAGCTGCAATGCTGTTTGTCTCCTGGTCTGGGGCCTCTCTGTGAGCTCTGCCAGTTGTCTGTCCGCTGTTGATCTTCCCCCTCACTCATGTATAGTGAACCTTGCAGACATCTTTCTTACTTTTGCTTTAGCATTCTTTTGTAAATTACAATGTTTTTAATTGAAATGAAGGTAATTCCATCACTTTCACATATCCTCCCGGTTTCCTTCCCTCCAACCCCTCTCGTGTTCCCCAATCTCAAGTTGATAGCCTTTTTTTATTCTTATCACACATGCACACACACACACACACACGCACACACACACGCGCACGTGTGTGTGCGTGTGTGTGTGTGTGTGTGTGTGTGTGTGTGTGTGTGTATGTATGTGTGTGCACAAATATATAAAAACACACCCCGCTGAGTCCATTTTTGTTGGTGGTGTAGTTTCCAGGCTGATCATTCTGCATTAGACCACCACTAATGGGCTCATCCCTGGGAGAGTCTAATTCTCCTTTCCCAGCAGTCAGCTGTTGGCCTGTAGTTCTTTGTCCAGGGGTGAGACCCCATTAAATCTGTCTCTCTTCCATGGTCGCATGTCCATCGCTATTGCCATTGTTCTGGTCATGTTTGTGCAGCCTTTTCCAGGAGGGATTGATTCACAGCCGACTTCGCGATTCTGACTCTCACAATCTTCCCACCCCCTCCTCCATGGTATTCCCTGAGCCATGGATGCAGGAGCTATGATGTGGATGTGGATGTTGGGGCTGGGCTTCCCATATCTATTGACGTCTGCATGTGTCCAGTCGTGCTTTTCTGTGGTGGTCTCCATTTATAGTTAAGAGAGGCTTCTCTGATGAAGGATGGTAGCCACACTTATCTGGGGGTATAAAGATAAGCTTTAAAATGTGGTAAGGAGTTAGGCTGGTCAGGTAAAGTGTCAGCAGCAGATTCTGTTCTAAGGTCGATGGCTTCGTCAGCCTCAGGACTATGGCCAGGTTTCTAGCGCCAGGCATGATGTCCCTCCTTTGAGTCCACTTAGACAACTGTCGGTTGCCACTGACATGTGAGCACCACTTCTTACACCATAAAGGTGTAATACCCTGCCACGCTGGTAATTGTCATGGTTCGTAAGTGTTATAGCTGGGTAGGACTGTTTAATTGTTTCCCTCCCTTGGTAGCTTACACAGTAATTTCTGGAGCCACAGGAGCTAGGACACAGGAAAGAGACAATCAGGTCAGTTCCAGCTCAAATCACATGATTCCTGTGTCCTGAGTGTGTGGTTTCTTCGGCAATAGAGGTCTACCCCAACCCTTGATAGACAACCTAGGGCTACACGTATAATCTATATTGTTTTGGATATCACTTAGACTGCCCTGACCAACCATTACAAAGAAGGTTTCTTGTGCCTGGACTGGGACCTTTGTTGGTCCCTACATCGACTTTAAGAATCAGCAGGCATTTCTATCTACTAACAACAGACAGGCTGAGAAAGAGGGCATGGGTACACTTCTCTTTTGTGAATTCGAGGCCAGCCTGGGCTACCAAGTGAGTTCCAGGAAAGGCGAAAAGCTACACAGAGAAACCCTGTCTCAAAAAACAAACAAAAAAAAAAAAAAATCAAAACAAAAAAAGAGCACTGGCCGCTCTTCCAAAGGACGCAGGTTGATCCCCAGCATCCACATGGTGGCTCACAACTGTCTGTGACTCAGTCCCCTACACATAAAATAAAGAAAAAAAAAAGAAAGAAAACTTCAAATCTCTGAAAAAAGAGATTAAGAAAGACACTGGAAAAATGGAAAGACTTCCCATGTTCATGGGTTGGTAGAATATTGTGAAGATGACCATCCTATCAAAATGATGTACAGATTCAATGAAATCCCAATCAAAGTACCTAAACATTCTCCACAGAAATAGGAAAAAAAATCCTAAAATTCAGATGGAACCAGAAAAGACCACTGATAGCCAAAGCAGTCCTGAGCAAAAGTAAAAATCCTGGCAGGACTGCTATTCGAGAGGCCTTCAGCCTCCTCTGTACCGAAGACTGCCTTGCATGAATTTTGAAAAGGCACGAGGTAAGAGTCTCACTTTTTCCTCCAGCTGGCTATCTACGTATTCCTGAATATTTTTCAATAACCCTTCTTTTCCTCATATTTTCTTTCTGACATTAAAATGTCACTTTTGCATTGACTAAATATAGAACTAAGGCAAAAATTATCGAAATGTTTAAAAACCGCAATGTGACATGATAAACACTGGCGAAATAAACAAAGGCAACCGGAGAAAACTAGGGCCAGGAAATTACCTGTGTATTAATTTTCCTATTTTTCAGATTCAAATATAGAGTTTTGATGCAGGTGACCCACTCTCTTAAGCCTTGTATGATATCTTCTCTTCATTTTTTGAGAAGTCTTGTTGCATTGACGTATTTATTTAGAGAGAGCATATGTGTGCACACGAGCATGTGTGTCCCGCACAAATGTCACCTGCTCTCCGTTCCCCTTCCACTGTGCGTGTCCCAGCTGTCACACTCAGGTCACCATCAGTCTTGGCGGCAATCACCTGTACCCACTGAGCCGACTCGCCAGCCCTCTCCTTAATTTAATTAAATTTATTTACTTATTGATTTATTTACTTAATGAGGATCGCATTTGTACCCAGATTGTTTCGTATTTTTTTAATTTTTGAAATTAAAATATAATTACATAACTTTCCCTCTTCCCTCCTTCCAGCCTTCCCACGTCCCTTCCCATGTGCCCCCCACCCCACCCCACCCAACTTCCAGGGCTTTCTCTCAAATTCATGGCTCTCCTTTATTTTATTCTTTTTCTCCTTAATTTTAAAGGGGGGTTTAGGAATAGATAACGCTGGCAATGAAAAAAAATTATAACTAAAATGAAGCAATTATTTTATTTCACTCTCTTCTAATTCTGTTAAATTCAAGTACATCTTTAGCTTTGTAGATTATACTTAAATTAGAATCTATGATATGGTTCCAATTTGAAATTTTTTTATTAAAAGTCTTTGTTCTGGGGTGGGGGGGAATTGTTAAGACCTAAGTTGACATCCTATAATTTTACAATATTTTCTTGTGGATGATGGAAATTGGAATTCGCTTATTTTCCTTTAAGCATTTTTTTCTATATTATTTGAGTAGTTAAACATTGTAAAGAACAATAAAATTATTATTTTGTTGTTGTTTGACACAAGGTCTCAATATATAGCTTTGCCTGGCCAGGGACTCACTCTGTAGACCAGGCTGGCCTTAAACTCACAGAGCTCTTCCTGCCTCTGCCTCCCAAGCGCTAGGATTACAAGCATGAGCCACCCCTGGTTTACAGATTATTCTCTTAAAGGAGTCTGGGCCTTTTGATTGCAGGGGTGCGGAGAGCAACAGGGGTGTGGGGGTGCAGGCAAGGAATATGAGCACAACACAGGTGTGGCAGCGGCAGGGCCAGGGCCAACCGTCCTCTTGAGTGCTCTGTGCACTGGCTAGGAGGACGAGAAGGAAGGACTGGGTCTGGAATAAAAGCAGGAACCCAGTACAGCAGGCTTTCGCCAGTAGACAGAGAGATGTACTTAGGCGCTGAGTACTTAGGCGTTGAGTACTTCCACGTTTCAGAAGGTGTACACAGGAGAGGGCTGAGTCCTCTCCTAGTGTGAGGTCTAAAGTAATGTGTGACTCAGCAATGTCACTCTGAGCCCCAGCTCCTCTGTCCGCTTTCTCCACAGCTCATGGCCTCCATCTTCTTAGGTAGAAAATGACTGCCACAACTCCAGGACTCCATCCTTATTCCAGAACAGGAAGGACACAGGGCTAAAGACAAAACACCTTTTTTTTTTTTTTCCCCTTACACATCTTCCTTTTGTTCTACAAAAGAAACCTCAGAGGCTTCTGCCTGTGTGTGCTGGACTGCTGCTTGCCACCAATAGCAGCTGGGGTGGGGTGCAGGTCCTCGGAGACCCTGGTCCTTTGCTTCTACCTGTCCAGCTTTCTAATGGAGGGCAGCCTCGCAGGAACTCTGACCTCTGGTGGACTGCACAGCTGCCATGTTTTTTATATAAATTGTATGACCAGTGGGCAAGCCATACAGTCTTCTTCATGATGTGTCTAAAGGAAAGAGAAGGCAAAATATGCACAAGTCTGTTTTCCAAAAGCTGGTGAGAGGTAGAAGACGAGGCGAATTGTGGCGGGGATAGACCTCGTCCCACCTCAGCTTTAGAAGGGACAAATCTATCTTTGTTACTTAAGGTTCTTGTCATTAGTTTTTGTTTTTTAAAGATTTTTATTTATTTATTATGTATACATCATGTATGACTGCAGAACAGAAGAGGGCACCAGATCTCATTACAGATGGTTGTGAGCCACCATGTGGTTGCTGGGAATCGAACTCAGGACCTCTGGAAGAACAGTCAGTGAGTGCTCTTAACCTCTGAGCCATCTCTCCAGCCCCGTCATTAGTTTTTTAAAGATTTTATTTGTTTTATGTGTTTGACGGGTGCCTCCATGTATGTATGTGCGCTGTGTGCATGCAGTGCCCACAGAGGTCAGAGGAGGGCATTAGATCCCTGGAACTGGAGTCACAGACAGTTGTGGACCACCATGTGGGTGCTGGGAACTGAACTCAGGTCCTCTACAGCATACTTCCAGTCACTAAGACGTCGCTACAGCCCTAAGTTCTAGTGGTTTTTATTATATTTTATTTATGATAAAGTAAATCTTAGGGAATAACATCACCCCAGAGCAAAGGGAATGCTTATTAACTGATGTGACTATTGTGGAAATCAGTGTGCCATTTCCCCAGAAAATAAGAAACAACTATAACAACAAAGGACTGTATCTGATCCAACATTCCCTCCTCCAGGTTCACATCTAAAAGAAATGGAATTCATTATCTTGTAAAAAGATGTCTGCTTCCCATAATTACTATCGCACTACCCATAGCAGCCAAGGTGTGGAAACAATCCCACATGTCCATCAGTGGGATAAAAGATAAGGGAAGCTGTGATACACACACACACACACACACACACACACACACACACACACACAGGAACACAAACACAATACCATCGTTTTCAGCCTGGGAATAGGAGTTCCCAGCCAGACATGGTACCACACGCCTGTAAGCTCAACACTTAGGAGGTGGAGGCAGGAGATCAGAGGGCTACGTCGTGAGTTCAAGGCCAGCCTGGGCCACATAAGACCCTGTCTCAATTAAAGGAGGAGAGAAGAGGGGAGAGAGAGAGAGAGAGAGAACCTATGATATGTGACGACATGGCTGAATCTAGACAGCATTGTACAAGTCAGAGAAACCAGACATACAAAGAAAGGCCCCAAACAGCCTTGCATACATGTAGAACTGACACACTTTTTTACAAATCAAAGACACAGGAAACAAGTAGAAAGATGGTTTCAGGGGTGGAAATGAGAATTAGGGCTGATGAGAGGTCTCATTGGGAAAGGGGCTTGTCACCAAGACTGAAGACCTGAGTTCAATTCCCACGAGAGACCCGACTCCAGCAGGTTGTCCTCTGACCTGGACACACATGTGTGTATGCACATACAAATGACTATGTAGAAGAGAATTGGGGAGGGTATTGGGCCCAGTGTTTTACTTCTGCAGTATACTGAGTAGTGAGACCTAAGGTCTGACCTGAAAACTGTACGTCATGGAAATTTTGAAGGCAGTGGGTTTTAAGCACCTTTGCTACAGACACGAGAATGGGAAATGATGGTATAGTAACTGCCTTCTGTTACTTCGCAATTTGTACCAAAGCATCACATTGTGTACCATAAATATATATAATTAAAAAGAGAAAGTCTTTTTAGACAAGGTCTCATGATGTATCTCTGGCTGGCCTGAAACTCACTGTGTAGACCAGGCTGGCCTCAAATGCAGAGACAGAGATCCCCTCACCTCTGCCTCCTAGTGCTGGCATTAAAAATTGTGCACTACTGCCCTGCTTAACAAAACAAAAACAAACAAAAAAGAAACCTGTGGAGACTCCCGGGCCAAGTCTGCAAAGAGGAGCTTGGGATAGAATGTAGAAGCATTGTTATCTCTTTGTAAGGGGGAGTCCTCTTGAGGGACACCAGCCTCAAGATCACGTTTATTTCTAAGGTCCCTGAACCTGTTCCCTCTTCCCTGGCTGCTTCTGTGTATCCATCACTCATAAAGAAGGCTTACTTATCATCTGTGTTTTCCTCCCCTGTCAATCAGCACGACTTCATTCGGAGGGAGCGGCCACCACGGGTCCTCATTGACCTCATACAGAGGACAAAAGATGCTGTCCGAGAGTTGGACAACCTGCAATACAGAAAAATGAAGAAGATCCTCTTCCAGGAGACTCGGAACGGACCCTTGAATGAGTCCCAGGAAGAAGAAGAAGTAGGTGCCCCTGATTTCAGCTTCCCGAGTTGGTACAGGGAAAACATTTTGGAGGATGGGAACAGAATGGGTGCTCTCTCCCCTAAGAAACACTCAGGGTAACAGAGACATAAGTACAGCAACTCTTGCTTAAGGTAGACTGTGAAAAGTGCTGGGGGTCCAGCCCCAGTAGGGGGGGCGGGGCACAGTGCTGGGTAGGAGTGAGGGTGTAGTGGGATGGAATAGACATTCATGAGTGGGCACAGCACAAATTTTTAAATATATTTTTATTTGAGAATTTCACACATGCATACAGAGCCTTTCAGTCACATCCAGCCCCTGTTCCCCCTCTAGCTCCTTCAGGACCTTCCCACCTACCCTGTCTTAGTCAGGGTGTATGTTGCTGGGAAGAGACACCATGACCCTGGCAACTCTTTTTTTTTTTTTTTTTTTTTTTTTGGTTTTTCGAGACAGGGTTTCTCTGTGTAGCTTTGCGCCTTTCCTGGAACTCGCTTTGGAGACCAGGCTGGCCTCGAACTCACAGAGATCCGCCTGGCTCTGCCTCCCGAGTGCTGGGATTAAAGGCGTGCGCCACCACCGCCCGGCGGCAACTCTTATACAGGAAAACATGTAACTGGGGGGGCTCACTCACAGTTCAGAGGTTCAGTCCATTATCATCGTGGGGGGAAGCATGGCAGCGTGCAGGCAGACACAGTGCTGGAGGTGAGAGTTATCATGTCTTAATCCAAAGGCAACAGGAAATGAACTGTCTCACCGGGCATGGCCGGAGCATATGAGACCTCAAAGCCCACCTCCACAGTGACACACTTCCTCCAACAAGACCACACCTACTCCAACAAGGCCACCTCTCCTAATAGTCCCCACTCCCTTTGGGAGCCATTTTCTTTCAAATCTCCACGTTCCACTTCCTGGCCCCCAAAGGCATGTAGCCATATCATAACGCAAAAAGGCATTCAGTCCAACTTCAAAAGTCCCCATAGTCCATAACAGTCTCAAACTTATTTAAAAGTCTAAAGTTCAAAATCTCTTCTGAGAGTCGTGGCAGTCTCTTAACTGTAATTCCCTGTAAAATCAAAAATGAGATTACATACTTCCAACATATAATGGCACTGGATATTCATTACCATTCCAAAACATAGGGAAGGGAGCACAGTGAGGAAACTCTGGACCAAAGCAAGACAAAAACCAGCTGGGCAAACTCCAAACTCTGCATCTCCATGTCTGATGTCAAGAAGCTCTTCAGATCTCCAACTCTGTTCAGCTTTGTTGACTGCAACACACTTCTTTCTCTTGGGCGGGTTCCACTCCCTATCAGCAGCTCTCCTCGGCAGGTGTCTCATGGCTCTGGCATCTCCAATATGGAATATGACATGTTAATAGTGGGGCATGGAAGCAGACATCTTTAATCCCAGCACTAGGGAGGCAGAAGCAGGCTGATCTCTGTGCATTCAAGGCTAGCCTGGTCTACAGATCGAGTTCCAGGCCAGCCCTGGCTACATACTGAGACCCTGTCTTCAAAACACAAAAGTGAAAAAGTGGTGTATTGTCTACCATTTTGTATGACTGAATGATTGTTTGTATTCTCGTGTCTACATAGCAATTTACTGAGTTCGTTTGTGTAGAGTAGGGTTGGAAAACGAGGCTTCTCTGTACCTAGATTGACTTAGTGACATTCAATCTTGTGGGGGAAGAGCCTCTTCTGTGATGGTTAACTGCTATATCCACACTGTTTCACCCCAGCCCGCTGTTAGTCTTTGGCCCAGTAGACATGCATACCATTCAAGGTAGATAGCTCTTTAGCAACAACACCCAGGGTTGACCTCTATCTACTATACACACACACACACACACACACACACACACACACACACACACACACTTGATCTTTGCACACCAACAGAAAAGCACTCACCGCCGCAGAATTGAGTACTGAGTGGCCCAGTCAGTGAGTCGGTACTAGATCTCCAGGTGTTTTGTTTTTGTTTTTGTTTTTTTTTTTTAATCCCACTGCCCATTTTTACAGGACAGTGAACATGGAAGCAACCTGAGCAGGGAGGTGGACAGCCTGGGCAGCATCCACTCCATCCCCAGCGTGTCCGTGAGCACAGGCAGCCGGAGCAGCAGTGTGAACAGCATGCAGGAGGTCATGGATGAGAGCAGCCCCGAGCTCATCATGATGCAGGAGGATGAAGGCACTGTCAGCTCCGGCTCCTCCATGGTTCACAAGAAGGTAGGCATCCCAGGGCCCTCACGAGCCAGGTGGGTGGTCACAGCAAAGCCAGGTCAGGACACACTGCTTCCAGGTGGGTGGGCTTCCGCTTTGCGACCAAAGCATGGGAAGAGGAGAGCATGAAGGACTTCAGGAAATGATTGACAAAAGACCATGTTGGCCACACCCCCTGTGGCCTTACCCTCTCCGGTTGCTCTGATGTCTGGCAGTAAAGAAATCCCAATGGAGCACAGTGGCACAGGGTCTAGAATGCTGGCCCCTGGAAGACTGAGGAAGGGGGATTACCACTGTTCAAGACTGCCCTGTATTACATTGTGAGCTGTAGGCCAGCCCAGGTTACACAGTGAAATCCTGTCTCAAAAAAGAAAGAAAAGAAAAGAGAAGAGAAGAGAAAAGGAAAAAGAAAGAGAAAGAAAACAAACAAAAAAAGGGGGGGGCTGGAGAGATGGCTCAGAGGTTAAAAGTACTGGTTGCTCATCCAGAGGACATGGGTTCAATTCTCAACTCCCACATAAATGGCTCACAACCATCTAACTCCAATCAGGTGGCTCTGACACCCTCTTCTGGCCTCCTCAGACACCAGACATGCAAAATGCATAGATATTTATGCAGGTAAAACACCTATTCATGCCCGGTGGTGGTGGCGCATGCCTTTAATCCCAGCATTTGGGAGGCAGAGGCAGGCGGATCTCTGTGAGTTCGAGGCCAGCCTGGTCTACAGAGCGAGATCCAGAACAGCCAGAGCTACACAGAGAAACCCTGTCTTACCAAAAAAAAAAAAAAAAAAAGAAGAAGAAGAGGAAGGAGGAAAGAAGGGAAGGAAGGTCAAAGTCGCCAGAAGAGCCTCATGGAAAGACACTCATCTTTACAGAGGGAGAGATCCTCTGTAAAGCAGTGACCTCCACACCTCAGACCATCAGAAGAAAGCTGACAGCCAGGCCTGGCAATTCATCTTTAACCCCAGAGACTCAAGAGGCTGAGGTTGGAGGATGGCAAGTTCAAGGCTTGCCAGGGCTGCAGAGTGAGTTCAAGGTGAACATCTTACAAAGACCCTGTCTCAACACGAAAAGCCAAAGACCAAACAGCAGCAGATGAAGCCTGAAGATAGAACTCACTGGTGGCGTCCATGACTGTCATGGGCAGGTCCCCTGGTTCCACCCCCAGTACCCGGTGCAGGGGTAGGAAGTGTTTTGGAATCTACAGTCCTGAGTGCTGTTTGTTTTAGGGATGGTTTTTATTCTTCTGTGTGGTTTCTAGAATTTATTGTTTATGATCCTTCTAAGGCTAGCTCTTTGCCAGCTAACTACATGTACAGATTTATTTTGTTTGTTTGTTTGTTTTGTGGGGAGGGTGCACATATGTGTGACCAGCACACATGTAGAGATCAGAGGAAAACCTTCAGGAGAGTAGATTCTGTCCTTCCCCTATCAGGGAGAAGGGGGTTCCAAGGACATCAGGCTTGGTGGCAGGCAAGCCTCCTTACCCCGTTAACTGTTTTGACTTTTTTTAAAATATTTATTTATTTATTTATTTATTTATGTATGTATTTATTTATTTATTTATTTGTTTATTTATTAGTACGCATGTGCACAGTGTTCTGCCTGCATGCCAGAAGAGGGCACCATATCTCATTATAGATGGTTGTGAGCCACCCTGTGGTTGCTGGGAATTGAACTCAGGGCCTCTGGAAAAGCGGCCTGTGCTCTTAACCTCTGAGCCATCTCTCCAGCCCCTGTTTTGACTTTTGATTGAATGGTCCTGATTAAGGATGCCTGTCCTAGGATGTCTGTCCTAGGATGTCTGTCCTGTTGGCCCTCTGTTGCTGTGATAAACTCCACGACCAACAGCACCTTGGGGAGGAAAGGGTTTATTTCATCTTACAACTCTCAGGTCACACTCCATCACTGAAGGAAGTCAGGACAGGAACTCACACAGGGCAGGAACCTGGAGTCAGGAGCTGATGCAGAGGCCATGGAAGGGTGCTGCTGGCTGGCTTGCTCAGCCTGCTTTCTTATAGAACCCAGGACCAGCAGCCTGTGGATGGCTCCACCCACAGTGGGCAGGGCCCTAATACATTAATCATTGATCAAGAACATGTGCCAAGGACTTGTCTATAGGCTCGTATGATGGAGGCAGTTTGTCAGTTGAAGTTTCTTCTTCCCAGTGATCCTAGCTTGTGTCAAGGTGGCGAAAACCTAACCCGCAGAACGCCCATTTTATACAAACCTATCCTAAGTTAAAAGACTCTTTATGAAAAAAGTTAAGGCTTACTTCAAAGCCATTGCTTTGGCTCAAGGTCAGCATTCCACAGTATAAAATTATAGAAAAGATCCCTTGTCATTTTAAAATTTTATTATTTTATTTTTATTTCATGTAGCTGAGCATTTCATGCATTGTCTGCATGTATGTATTTATGTACCCTGTGCATGCAGTACACACGGAAGCCAGAAGAGGGTGTCTGACCCTCCTGGAACTGGAGTTGCAGGTCGTGATGGGTGATGGGAACTGAACCAGGTCCTCTGCAAAAGCAGCAAGGACTCTTAACCTCCTCCAGGCCATCTCTTCTGCACCTCCCCCCAACCCGTGGTCATTTCTTCTTCTTCTTCTTTTCTTTCTTTTTTTTTTTTTTAATTTTTTTCTTCTTAAGTATCTGAGCCATTTGTGTGTAGTGTTCTTGCGAAATTTGTTCTGGGTAACAGAAAGTCTTAATCAACCAGGGAATCATGGGAGGTTTACATAGGATGACAGTTTAGATGAAATTTCACAGACATGTGGAAGCCTCATAGCTTGGGAGAGGAGTGAATCCAAGAGCAGGAAGTGCAAAGGCCCTGGGGCAGGAGGAGCATTACATGTCAAGGAAGAGGGCAAAGGTTGAGGAGGTTGGAGCCTGGAAAGCGGGTGCTCATCAGACTGGGAAAACGTCAGGTTCTGGGGACCAGGAAGTTTAAGGAAATGGGCGATATCAGATAAAGAAAGCCATTTGCCTCCGTACTAGCTGGACTCTTTGGATTATAGGCAAATGGTCATGTATGTAAAGTGTAGGAAAGAAAGGTTTGGATTGGGAAGATGGTTCAGTGGGTAAAGGTGTTTGTTGCCAAACCTGATGACCTGAGTTCAGTCTCCAGGAGAGGAGAAACCCAACTCTCGAATGTTGTCCCCTGACCTATGTCCTGGGAACATGTGCAGCTACAGGTCGTGGAGGCATAAAGTAAATAAAAATGTAAAAAACACAAAGCTTTTGTATCCGTGGGTGCTCACAGGCGTTGGCTGTCTCTCTGCCACCTGTTGGGGTCTCGTGAGTAGAGTGCACAAGGGAGGCATTAGAGTGGGTCTGGGGCTACGGGAGCTATAGCTCAGAGGGCGTGGCACAGGGCAGAAGGGCTCCACCAGGCTGGCTTCTCCTGCCTTTGTTTCCACGATCTGGGAAACAGCGACCTCACACCCACCCCCACCAGGAGAAGGGCTGCTCTTTCTGTATTACAGTAGGGATATGCAGTCCACCTGAGATTTCCCTATAATGGGATTTTTTTCGAGAAGCCCTGCCCAAGTCGGTTCCCTGCCCATGCTGATGGACAGCAGCCGCACTGCCACACAATCAGACATTTGGGTGCCTGGTTACACTTTCTAGGAAGGAGAGCCAAGACAGAATTTTCCCTTTTCATTTTCTTGTTTATTATTATTATTATTTATGCGTATGTGTGTGAGGCTGGATGACTGTGTAGCATGGGCATTCAGGTGCCTCAGAGACCAGAAGAGGGTATCAGAGTCCCTGGAGCCGGAGCTACAGGTGGCTACCATCTTAGAAGATGACCATCTTATCAAGCTCACCTTTTAAAAATACCTATATGTGCATTGATTACAGTTTCACCATTCATGTATGCACATGTTTTTACACACATGCCAATGATTCTCAGGCTTACCATGGAACATTAAAACTATGATTTCCAATACTCTTAACTGTTTATAATACAATGGAAAAACTCAAAATTTAAAGGTATTTGCTGACCAAGAGAATATTTGTGTCAGTTACCTTCAAGTAATTTATCATTTCTTTAATATACCCTGCCCTTACATTCTTTTAATTACTTTTTATATGAAAAGTAATGGATTTTATTATGGCATTTTCACCCATATGTGTCCTACTATATTCTCTTGTATCCCATGTAAAACCTAAGTCTAAAGTTGTGTGTGTGTGTGTGTGTGTGTGTGTGTCTGTGATATGTGCAGGTCATGAGTGTAAACTCATTTCTATGACATTTAGTATGGATGTCTGTGTGTGCATGTGCACACATGCACTGCACACCAGAGCATTTATGTGGAGGTCAAAGGACAGATTTCTGTCTGTTCTGTCCTTCCACCGTGTGGCTCCCAGGGCTAGAACTCACTCAGGTCATCAGACTTAACAGCAAATGCCTTTACCCACCCGGCCCTCTTTGCCGGCCCTGTTGCCATCTTTGAAAACCAAAGAACAGCTTTCCCCAGTTTGTTTGGCAGGAAGAAAAGTCCTTGAGGGGCTAGGGCGTCCTAGGTACGTTTTGCTCCCGTGGCCTGTGGTTATTTCTGCCGGACAGAGGGCCAGGTTCACTGCTGCTTCCGCTTACACTCAGCAAAGAGAACCTGAAGGAGTGATGGTACAGATGAGGGGCGAGGAGCATCCTGCAGTCATGGCCCTGTCCTCGGTCCTTGCCATCTTCCCTCCCTGACCCTCTGGTTCAGACCCGGGATTCCCCTCCAGCTCCATCGAGCAGCCTCAGAAACCATGCCTGGTGCCTCACACCTTTAATCCCCACACTGGGGAGGCTGAGGCCGCTGGATCTCTGAGTTTGAAGCCAGCTGGGTTTACAGATCGAGTTCCACGTCAGCGCGAGCTGCATAGAGAGCCTGTCTCAACAAAACCAAAGTGATATTTTGAAGTGAGCAGATGGGGGCAGGGAGTTTGCTGGCCCCTCGTCCACGGACAGGTCGGTGAGGGTGTCTGTAGAGGCTCCAGTCAGAGAAAAGCTGCATCCGGTCACACCCGTGGGCGCTGTCGTGTGTGCGTCACCATTTTACAGCTTCCCTGTAAACCGAAGTAGCGGGCTTTGAGGAAACACCAGTACGAATTCTGTTAAATAACCCAAGAGAAAATGCCATTTTCTCATCATCTCCTCAGACTGCTCCTCTTGAGTTTATTGAGCCATGGCCTCCCAGACAAAGCACCACATCTCAGGCCAAGTCCTAGGGAGACAGGGTTTGTCCAAGCCCCACAGTCCCAGGCAGAAATCACAGTGAACCGGGAAAAGTGAGCCAAGCCCACAAGGCAGTCAAGAGGAGAAGGACCCAAATCACTGCCAAGTTCATATACTTTCTTTTTTTTTGGGGGGGGGGTTGTTTCGAGACAGGGTTTCTCTGTGTAGCTTTGCGCCTTTCCTGGAACTCACTTTGGAGACCAGGCTAGCCTCGAACTCACAGAGATCCACCTGGCTCTGCCTCATATACTTTCTAGACTTGTGACCAAGAGGCAGTTCTGTCTGGGAGGAAGCTTCCGTCTAAGTTAAAAGCAGTGTCTTAGGGGTGTCGATGTAGTCCCATTCATGAAGTGCTTACCGGCATGCACAGTGCCCCAGGTTCCATCACCAGCACACACCTGTAATCCTGGAATTGGGAGGACAGAGACAGGAGAATCCCAGGGGTTTGCTGGCCAGCCCATCCGAGCTCCTAGTTCAGTGAGAGACCCTGCCTCAAAAAACAAGGTCGGAAACAATAGAGGAAGACACCACTGTTGACCTCTGACCTCCGCATGTGCTAACACACATACACAGTAATGCCAGGACATAAATTTGTGCCTCTCAAGTGATATATTTCATTCTATTATATAAAAATGTAGTTCTTTTTTATCCTGTCACCTACCTGTCATTTTAGTACTCAGGATGCTGAGGCAGGAGGATTGCAGATTCAAGCCAGCCTGAGCTACAAAGCAAGGCCCCTGTTTCCAAAAAAAATTTTTTTGAATAAAAAATACAATTTAAGGAAAAGCAAATTTATTGCATATATTGTAAGAGGGTGCTGAGCAGGTAGTAGTTGGAGGAAATATTTCTGGTGTGTTTTAACCATGAGCACACATGTAGATTTGCCAGATTAAAATACATGGGCTCAATAACATGGGCCTCTAATCCCAAAAAAATTTCAAAGGACTATTTCATGTGTTGTTGAACAATAATATTTCATTACTTTTTATTTATTTACTGTGTGTGCACATGTGTGTGTATACGTGCACTGCAATGTCCCTGTGGAGGTCAGAGGACAACACACAGGAGTCAGTTAAATGCAAGTTTTGAGACTGGGAAGCAAGTACCAGTACCCACTGAGCCTATCTCCTCAGCCCTGATAATAATGTTTTTTGTTGTTTGTTTGTTTGTTTTCTGGAGCTGAGGACCGAACCCAGGGCCTTGTGCTTGTTAGGCAAGTGCTCTACCACTGAGCTAAACCCCTAGCCCCCTGATAATAATCTTTTAAAGGTAAATTACCACCAAGACACATATTTGGTCTTGGTAGAGTGTAGCGTGGTGTTGGCCTTTCATCTCACAGAAACATTCTTCAGAGATGTGAGTCCTCAGCTCCTCGTGGGCAGAGAGCAGGCTCTGACTGTTATTATGTTAACTGACCCTCTCCACGGCTACCTCTAAATCATGCCCAGCTCACACAAACTGTGAGCACCATATACAGCGGTTAAACTCTGAGGGTCTGTGACTTGAAGGGATAATGTTCAACGAAGGTGATGTATCCTTGTGTTTGGGCTTCAGATCTCAGGCCACATCCCCTTATTTTTAATTAGTAGATTTGGAAACTTCAGCCTTTTTTAATCTAATGAGATCAAATGTTTACAAATTTATTTCTTAAACAAGAAAAAAGGGTAAAGCAAAGACTCACATTATTCATTTTATCTGTTATATTTAAAGTAAGTTAAAAATTTGGCCCTCGTCTTTGAACTAATTGCTAAAGTGGTGTCTTAGCTTTTTTTCTTTTTCTGAGACAGGTTTCACACTGTGTGTAGCATTTTTAATACATACTTTAGTGAGTTATTTAATCTGTTGATAACAATCAAAAGTGCTGTCAGAGTTTAACTTTCTGAATGTATTCCAATTCCCATACATCTAACACAATAAAAACACCAGTGACTTTTAATCATCAGGGTCCTGAACCTAAAATAGTCAGAATTTTGCTTGTTTGGTTGGGGTTTTCTTTCTTAGTGGTTGGTTTTGTTTTTTGAGGCAGAGGCTTACTAACGTAGCCCAGGCTGGCCCCGAACTGCCCTGTCTCCTCGACCTCCTGAGCGCTGGGATTGTAGGCTCACATCGCCACACCCTGGGTTCTAGTTTTTTTATTACATATGGGTGTGTGTGATGTGAGCGCTGTGGCTTCTGATGCCACTGGCCGTCTTTGCACGTGAAGTCACCACCACTGGAAGCGTGACTGCCGCTGCCCCTTACCCCACGTCCTCTCTCGATGGCCCTGCTGACTTCTCACCCAAGTCACGGCTCGGAGCCCCAGACTTTGTGTCTCTTACGAGGCTGGCATTGAAAAGTTTCATGCTTTTCTGAACCTGTCGTATTAAAGTAAGTTCAGTTTTAGATATGGTAAGATGTCATTAGTAAATACACGATGATGAGAGAGGGTCTTGCAAGAAGCTCAGGCCCACTGCTGGGTCGCCGTCTCACGCCAAGCTCTTTTGTCTATGTGCCGCAAGTTCAGACCTCCTGGGAAGTAATACAAATTAATTTTTTTTTTTTTTTTTTTTTTTTTTTTTGGTTTTTCGAGACAGGGTTTCTCTGTGTAGCTTTGCGCCTTTCCTGGGACTCACTTGGTAGCCCAGGCTGGCCTCGAACTCACAGAGATCCGCCTGGCTCTGCCTCCCGAGTGCTGGGATTAAAGGCGTGCGCCACCACCGCCCGGCTAATACAAATTAATTTAAAAGGATCCTTCAAACATTTTTTTCCCTAAGTTTCAAAATACCTATGTTAAAGATTTTTTTTTAATTATTTCAGGAGTGGGGCGAGGCTCTCACTGTTCTGCCCACAGTGACCTCAAATTTGCAATTTCTCCTACCTCCTGGGTGCTTCAAAGTGCAGGTGTGTCTTGGGGGGTGCTGATTACAGGTGGACACAACCTCACCCAGCATAAGTAATGCATTGTTTACTTATTTATTTATTATTATTGTAGCTTTTACATCAAGACCTGGTTATAACATTTTATTTCCCTCAAAAAAGTCTACATATTTTGATTTTTTTGACAATTTCACATAAATGATATAGTTTTGTATATTCTGAATCTCTTTGGTCCTTGCTTTGTAATGAAGGGGAGGGCAATTATATGTTTTTTAAAATTTCCAGGTACTCTTGGAGAAAATGCAAACAAATGGTTTCTCCTAGAACCCTGGGGAATAAGAAATTGATTTCTCCTTCCCCATCTGAGCATGTGCTATTTAAAAATCCCCCACTGTTGAACATGGTTTTGAGCTACAAATCGCCAGAGTACTGTTGGGGGTGGGGGAGGGCTGTTTTTAATTTTCTAAAGGTTAACCTCCCAACTGACTGAATGACCAGCTCATCTTGTACTGCGGGGGCATGGTCCTCTGAAAACATTTTTTCCTTTAAAAGTCATTTCAGTTGCATTTAAGGAACATCCATTATCATCCATCCAGGGCATGTTTTTTTTTTTTTTTTCTTTCCACGGGGCATTAGAATGAGATTAATCATCTTTGGCCATCAAGAAAGCACAGAACTCGATTAAAATCAGTCAAGGACATTAAATACCAGCCTCGCTGAGTCTGCTGGCATACCGATGCCGAGTTGAGGGACCGTTTGTGAAAGTATCATTTGGTTTGGAATTGTACGCCTGTCTCTTTAAATCTAAAAAAAAAAAAAAAAAAAAAAAAATCCTTTCAGAAGCTGTAGAGAGAAGGTGCTAGAACTGTGTACGATCATGACTGGAAAGCAGGATCCCTCAGTGACTGCCGAATCTTCCCAGCACAAGACAGAGAGGCGGCTGGCCACAAGCCTCCCCTGATCCCCCCACCCCACCCCCAGAAGAAGGATGACCCCACCGACCAGCTCACAGATCCAATTCAATTGACAACGCAGCTCTTTCAAGGGAATGAGGCGGAGGCTCGCTTTTATGTTAAAAGCCACCAGCATCCTCCCCGCCAGACACGGGACATGACATTTTTAAAGGAATTATCTGGTCACCGCGTTTTAAGCAGACCGTGCTGAAGCGTCGTCCGTCCGCGCCATTCTCTCTCCTCTTCCTTTTTGCCTTTGCATCTATGTGATTCCGGGAGGTAAAGGGGGGAAAAAAAAAGCCTGCCAGGGCGTCAGAAGGCATCCCACGAGCGATCAGCTGACATTCCTAACCGAAGGCTGCAATGTGTTGCTTATTCATTTTATACCGTGGGAGCTGCGGGGACTAGAGAAGCTGAACTATGCATTTCAAACAGCGGTGCTTGTTCAGAAAGAGGGGTAAGAGTGAGGCGGCCGGCGAGGAAAGAGCGCAGCTGGACTTCCTCCTTCTCTTCATCCATTTCTGCAGGATCATGTATTCGTAAGGGATGAGGCGGGCCACGGCGATCCCAGGCCTGAGCCGCGGCCTACCCAGTCAGTTCAGAGCCAGGCCCTCCACTATCGGAACCGAGAGCGCTTTGCCACGATCAAATCCGCGTCTTTGGTAAGCCGATGCTGCGCTCCCCACCTTCCCTTGCCTTCCCCTCCTCCCTGTCTGGCAGCCTCTGGCCCTCCCTGAGCCTCCCTCGGCTTCATGGATGGGAGGAAAAGCAGCCAGGGATGTTGTCTCCCTCCAAATAATTTTATTCATTTTAGGGGGGAAAAAAAAAATCTGTTGGCATAGCAACCTGATCTGAGATATTTAGCATTGTCTATGGCATAGGAAAAAAAAAAAAAGCCTCTGTGTGTGTGTGTGTGTGTGTGTGTGTGTGTGTGTGTGTGTGTGTGTGTGCTGTATATGTAAAATATAAGGTCTGGGGATGAGTTGCTGGCATGACCAATTTTTTTTTTTAAAGCGATCTGTGTTTTAATCAAAATAAATCTAAAAATATTTTTTAAGGTATGGATGTGTGTAGGGCACTATGCTTTTTATATAGGTGCATGTGTGTCTCTATGATACACACACACACACACACACACACACACACACACACACACGTCAAAAGGTAAAACACGATTTAAAAAATATGTATAGATGGTTGCCGGCTACCATCTGTATAATTGTAGAAAAACCAGACACTTGCTTCCCAGGGATAGTCCACTGGTTCGTTCTGGTTCATTCATTTATTTATTGCAATGGTGGTAGTGGCCGAGCTTCCCCCATTTAACCCCTGAAGAATTTCCTGAGAGCCATAAAGCGAGGAGGGCTTTGTAGGGGAGGCTGGCAGCAGCTGTGGGAGCCCAGGGGCTGTCGGATTCCTCAGCATTTTTACTACTGCGAATGTGATTGCCGGGTGCCCTTGTAGTAGCAAAAGGGGTGTGCGCAGGAAGACTTAGTTTTCATGCCTCCTCCCCTTGGCCCCCCACGCGTGCGCGTGCGCGCTCACACACACACACACACACACACACACACATCTCTCCCTCTCTCTCTCTCTCTCTCTCTCTCCCCATTTCATCCTTAGCATTTGGAACTCTCTTTCAGCCTTTCCACCCGAATCTCACTTCTCCGGCAGGAAAATTATTGAAATATTAGTTGTTTTGCCCAAATGGATGTTAGAGGTCACATGAGCGGGAAGAGTTACTGTACACTGCTTGGCCGTTACATCCAGAACCCATGATGACATCATCTGAGGCCGACCCAGAAATCATCGGTTTTTTCTTGTCCTATTTTTCAAACCTGATTTCTACTTTTATCCCCCCCCCCACCCCACCAAGTCCTTTTTTTTTAAGGCTCCAGTGGTGTTTGAGATTTAGAAGGCATTATAATCTTTGAAAGAGTAAACGGAAGGAAAATGGAGACGGTAGCAGCAGTCTATTGCTCATGCCCACTCCATGTCAGGAAAAAAAAAAAAAATCACACAGTTTAACGTAGTCTGTTCATAAAGAATCCCACTCCCGAGTTCTTTGATGCTGAAGTTTCTTGTAACCTCTTTAATGGGCAATTTTTCATCTGAAAGGAACACCCTGCCGTGTGACGGAGATCTCAAAATGTCCACTCTGTGGCTGCTAATGCTTGGCAAGCATCTCCAAAAACACGCCTGTGAATCCGCTAGAACATGGTGGGGCTGTCCATAGTTGCCTCCGTGCCACGGTGTCTGACAAGAAAACTGTGACTACTCACCACAGGCTCCCGTGGGGCTTGTCCCTTGAACCCCCACCTGCTCTCCGAGGAGTGGGAAGAGAGGCCATGGGGAGCCCTCGCAGCAGGGGCAGGCTGCAGGGAGGTGAACCCTAGCCCCAGCAGTCTCCCCCATTGTGGGACAGGTTCTCTGCTTTCCCTCAAGCCACGCCCTCCTTCCCACATCATATATTCATGACTCTCTCCTCCCGCCCTTCATTACTACAGCCATGCTGGTATAGTCTCATGCCGGCCTCTGAAAACTCCCTCCGGGGCCGCTCAGCGTGGGCTCCAGCCACCACAGCCGCCTTCTCAGTGGCTAATAGAAGCCGCTCCCCTGCCAGGCCACTTCAGGCTATGGGCAGAGCCCTTGGAAGCCTCCCTGGATGCTCCAGGCTTCAGAGTAACCCACCCCACCCCACCCCACCCCCCAGTGCAGGAAACTGCTGTGGTCCATCCCTCCGGTGGAATTCTGATGTGTCAAAAGGTCTCTGTTCCGATCCTGACCTAAAGACCGAGAAGCCTGGGTTTGGGTGGGGCGGCAGCTAGCGCCCTGGGCACAGAGACCATCGGCATACCCTCTCCAGACAGGATGCTGTCCGAGTCATGATGGTATCCTTGGAAGTTCTTCTGAGTAGCTGGCAAATTTTGAGGGAGACAAATAAAAGAATGAAGGGAAGAATGGAGTGTGGCATTGGATGGTCGTGTCTGTGTCCCATTGGGGGCGATCTAACTATTGCCATGGCTATGTTCATGTATATTATCAAGTATGTCAGTCCTGCCCCTCACCACATGGTCTCAGACACTCAACCCAAGGACTGCCCAAGCTATGACACTAGAGTAGTGGAAAGAAGTGTGCAATTTTAGAAAATGGATCACACATCCTATTTTTTTTCCATAGATCCCAGTTCAAGTGCAAAGGACTAAGGTAGTGTAAACTGCATTTCATTAAGCGCAGGGTCACGGGACAGCGGGGATCCTCTCATCAGTAGTCAAGCCACTGGTCAAACTGACAGGTGATGGCAATACCAGATTGATGGGTTGGTGTGTCCACCATGGATGGGTTCATTGGCTGGTTTGGATTGTACCCTTTCTCCGTGGCTTCCCTCTGGCAGCTGCTGACGAGTCACCCAGATCTGGAGGTGACTAGCAAAGAGCACAGACAGAAACACACAAGCTCCCTCTTCCATTGTGAGCTCAGGAAATGCTGAGAACGTTTTTCACTTGACTTGCCAACCCACGCCAACACTTAACCACTTCTCAGATGTGTCTCATGAACCCACCTTTCCCACACAAACCTAAAGGAGGCCCTCGCTGGACACTGCCTCCTCTCACTCAATATGGCTCTCTGTGTTGTGTCTCTGAATGAGGTGTGTGGTGGCCATGAGCTGTGGGCTCTTGCTCCTGGGTGTGTGGTGGCCATGAGCTGTGGGCTCTTGCTCCTGGGTGTGTGGTGGCCATGAGCTGTGGGCTCTTGCTCCTGGGGGTGTGGTGGCCATGAGCTGTGGGCTCTTGCTCCTGGGGGTGTGGTGGCCATGAGCTGTGGGCTCTTGCTCCTGGGTGTGTGGTGGTCACGAGCTGTGGGCTCTTGCTCCTGGGTGTGTGGTGGTCATGAGCTGTGGGTTCTTGCTCCTGGGGGTGTGGTGGTCATGAGCTGTGGGCTCTTGCTCCTGGGGGTGTGGTGGTCATGAGCTGTGGGCTCTTGCTCCTGGGTGTGTGATGACCGTGAGCTATGGGCTCTTGCTCCTGGGGGCGTGGTTCTCTGGGCACCTTAAAACAGAGTGTTCTGGGTTCCACACACTGCTCTTCTGTTGCTTGTGGGACAAAGGAAAAGCAAGCCGTGGTGGGGCTTTAGAATACAGCTGCTTCTTTCGAGCCTCCCATGAGCAGCCTTTACCAGCCTCGTGTAGACCTAGGAGAAGGAAAGGAACGTCATGGCCTTTCTCCGCCTTTCTCCTACCCTCTGCAAGGAAATGTGGCTTGAGCTGGTCTGTTGTCTAGAAGAAAGCAGTTTATATCATTCTTCAGGATTGTCTCTCTGAGTCCTTGGCCCTTTGAGGGGGACGCTCCTTGGGTCTTACTGCCGGTGAACGGAATGCCCAGTGTTTGCATTCTGCGACTGACCCATGAGAGCATTTCTGGCTGTTTGGATGTTTGAAGTCACTTCTTCAAATGTTGGGATGTTCTGGGTCCCTGGCAGCTTCCGTAGTAGATGGTGTCATAAAGAGCATCAGGGTCATGCATGTCTACCAGATAGCTCATTCGTTGCCTCCTAAAGGAAGGCTCGTTGGAAAGGAATGGTCTGGCCACACGAGCGAGTTTGTAACAGACCACACGTTAGGGAGAGAACATGAGAGGAAAGTCTGGTTTAAGGTCCTCAGAAAAACATGGAAGAGAAACTGTTGTTCCATCCCTGTAGACCTGGTTCTCCCACTTGGCCTCATCAGATTGAGAGGAAAAATTCCTAAGAGCTGGGGGGGATCTGCATTTGGAATGTTTGAAGCGCTGTCTAGCTGCTGAACTCACCTTGTAACATCTCCATGAGTGTGGCCCACCGGAAGCACTCCCGTGGCACCTCTCAGGAGCCCAGCGCTAAGCTAAGCTAAGTCAGGACGTTGCACCAGAGGATGCGTTATCGATACACCGCAAATCTCAGCGCTAGGACTCGGTCAGTGAGGTTCAGATTGTCCCTGCACCCATGTAGCCAGCCACCTGTGACTCTGGGCCACCAGTTCTCAGGCGGGGGCGGGGCAAGGCAGGGGTAAGAGTAAGAACGAACGGGCAGATCCCTGGAGCTCATTGGCCGGCCAGCCTAGCTGAATTAATGTGTTCATCCCCCCCCCCAAAAAAAAAAATAAGGTGGAGAACATGGAGAGTGACACCTACATGTTGACCCCTGGCCTCTGTACACATGTGCAAACCCAGATGGACATGTACATATCACACATGCGTGCGCACACATGAATATTACATACTTCTTTCCCATTGCCTGCCTTCTTAACTCACTATTTGCCCAGTTTCTTTTACCTGTGCTGTCTGTCAATCAATATGTCCAACCCACATGGCCACTCCCTCAGTAAACACATAGTTGAATGAGTGACGTCCCCACAGCCACTGCCACATGAGGATTTGGATTGAGACGTGCGCATTTTAGCTGGGTGTTGTAGGGCAACCTGTGATGCCCCTACAGGGGAAACAGAGTCGGGAAGAGCTCGAGTTCAAGACCAGCCTGGGCTACATAAGGAGATCCTAGCTCCCGTTTTTTCAAAAAAATGATGAGTGTCGCTTAGTGTGTGTGTGTGTGTGTGTGTGTGTATGAGAGAGAGAGAGAGAGAGTAGAAATCTCTCCTGGTAGCCCTCAACTGTCTGTTAGTGGAGAACTTAAA